CGCCACTGCTTCTAACCAACTTGTTGTCTCACTTTCCAATTCGGCACATCTGCTGGCTGAGGACGACCAGACGACTGGCATGACAAGTTTCTTAACTACACTTGCTAGCCCCAATAATCTTGAAAAAGTGGAGCCCACTGAAGAAGGCAAACATGAAAACGAGGATAATTGCGCTATAAGTGCAGATATCGTCACTGTAACCAAAGACCCTATGATTAATGATAGTTCAGCCTCGGATTCCTGCATTATGCAAGCTGGTGATTGTTCCGCTACCTCTTTCAACAGTCAAGCAGTCACTTCTCAAGACCATTCTTTCTTTAACTCTGCCATCTCAGTCAGGACTTCCGCTTGCTCTGCTCCACATCCGTCCACGGATTCGATAATCTCTGTTGCAGCTGGCCCTTCTTGTTCTTCCTCGCCCCGCGTTTGGGCTGAGCGGCCAACCGAAAATAAAGCTTTAATCGGAGATGGGGATATTTTGACCTCAATGGAAGCTCAGAGCCCGTCTACTGGTGAATCTGAGAGTAATTCTCCTTCAAAGTCTCAAGACGTTTTAAAGCATTTTGAAGAAGGTGTGTCTCCTTTCTTGCTCAGATTACTGCCATTGTTCGTCAATTTGAAATATCAAATTAAAATATATTTGATTCAGCTTACGATATGCTCCATGAGCTTATTCCGAAAAGCCTACTTAGTACAGCTTTACATTAGTCCTGTTTATCTCTTCCTTATAGTCTTTACAATACAGGCCAGCCATATATTTCTTCGGACATTTATTCCATTCCTTGCAGAGTTTGTTTCTTAATAGCTTCACTTTTGCTTTGAATCAAACTTCGACGCCTGGTGATTTATAAAAAAATATGGCTTGCTTTATTGGTTAAATTCATGCATAACTATTTAAAGAAGGCTAAAAATCAACCCTAAAGCCTTTTTTTATATACTCTTTTTTTTCCTTGATTCCTCGTCTCTGATCAAAACTGGCCTTCTCAATGATCGCATCAAATGGCCGAAGCAAATTGAAGTAGCTAATTTAAATTAAAACTACAAATGAAACGCAATCGTATTTCATAGCGTCTTATTCACTTAAATCGCGCTTATTTTCAGGTTCCGAGTCTCTCATCTCTATAGTCTTAATAAGTCTTCGTCACGTTTTGACGGATGGTATTTTATATCTCCAGTAGTAAATTTAAAGATTAAACTTAGGGCAC